ACACCCTCCTTTAACGTTCCATTGCGTGCACACAAAATCAAAGCAGTCGGACCTATTATAATTCTATACTCTTTGACAGACATGAACAATAATACGTACTGATGGTGTGATCTGATAGCATATAAAACTCTTAATTCCTTTTAGTTTACTCTCTTTCTTAGGGTTTCGGATTTGAGTTTGGAAGGGATTAATGTCTGGTTCCCACTGTGGTCCTTCATCCGTTTCCTACAAAACAAGAACAACAAAATATAATGTACAGTACCTACCAAAGAGAATTATATAAAGAATGAAGAGTGGTGGCTTAATTTCTTAAATTTGGAATAAAAAAAATTATTTCTTTATTTTTAAAGTCTATAGCCCTATTTTTAGTGGGTTTCTTTAGGCAGTACTGTATCTGCGGAGACAATCCCTACGTTTTTCCAAAGAGTTTACTGAGCGCATAAGGGCATATTCCACACAGGAACAATTAAAACCTAAAAACCTATACTTAAACGAACAATATATATATAATTGATAGTTTTACCACATTTATGTACATATGTAAATGCAGTGGCCTGGCCTTGTTCCAATTTCAACATGTTTATGCTTTCATAAGATATATCCTCTAGGCAAAACTTTGTTAAAATTTGAATAATGAATGAATGATTGAATAAATGATAGACCGAATGAAAGAATGAAGAATATGTATTGATACACTAACATGTAAAAGTATTTTAAAAAATGAAATGAATTATAATTTTAAAATGAACACTATTAAAAGCCAAATATCTGTCAAGTTCAATAAATAAATTTTGAAGAGAACCAAACTGAAAAATAATGTCATAAACAGCTGTAGTACATCTGCTAATTTCAACTGGCTTTCAGGCTTGATTCAAACAACATAATGTAAAAAAAAAAAAAAAAAAATCTGTGACCTGTAGGCTAAGTATACATAACTCCAGCATTCAGATGGATTATAATCACAACAAAAATTAAATTTTAACCGCATTATGAGGGAAAAAAACTATAAAATTTTCAAAAGAGCTCAATTAAAAATTTAAATAAACCATAATTTAAACAAGACAAGGTTAGATAAAAGATTCATAAAATACATGGAATAAGCCAGGGGATCATCAGAGCTATAAATTGGCTTAACCACTGTAATGTGATTTCTAGCTCAATTTTTTCTACCAAAGTTTTCTCTACCCTTTATAGTGCATTAATTATGCTCTAGCTGCCCACACTATATTGTATTATGATTCTAGAATTTATTCTAACCACATAAAAACATGCAAATTACTTTTAAGTATTGTAATTTACAGTAGTTCAGGAAATCTATGTCCTGTGTTAAACAATAATGCTTCTCTGTGGTGGAATAAATATTACAGATTTTTAAATGGATGTCCTCACAATACAAGGGGATTATGGTTTTTACCTTTAGTATATAAAAACACTTTTGATATTTTTACATGGGCCTAAGAGGTCAATTTACTGATTGATGATGGAGGTGGCTAGTAAATTGAGGCATGCCATCCCAAAACCAGCGTATTGTCATTATAGGTTAAACTGAGTAATTAGCATAAGAACGTGGCAGTCTTTTAACGCCAACATAATGTCAATGGCTGCCAAATGTCTGAAATCAGACGACTACAAAAACCAGTACCAGTATTGTATACTTTAGTACAGAGAAGCTCAGCTGTAATACTTTTACTCATAAACTTTGACAATAGTAAGTCAATACTAGTAAATGATCCATCATATTAAAGCTTTTAATAAGGAAAATATGATTAAATTGAGACAATTTTCATTTTTTGACATACCATGCCCCAATTGTACTTCAGAACTGAAACTATAAAATCCATCAATTGTTATCTTTTCAATATAGAAATTTGTTTAATCGTCCATTTAATTCAACCCAGTCTTTCCAATGAGGAAGTAGCTTGCTAAATAGTAAAGCAAAAATTATATTAGGAATACACTGATCGTTATACAGTCATTCTTTTTAAATTTATTTATTAAACGGCTGCATTATAATATTATCAGACCTACCAACTGCCATTAGATAAAAACAATTTTTGAGTTATTACTTACTATAATTGTTACTCCCCCTGCTGGAGATAAAGACTTTTTGGATACATTTCCCATAAGATATGCCTCTCCTCCAGATTTAGAAAACACAGAAAATCTGCAGAGGTCATATGTGAAACAAAAATGGAAACATTACTGAATTTATGTAAAAATAATGGTTTACAATATAAAACAGGCCTGTAACAATGATGTATCTATGATTCGGTCGAACCCCCTTTATGAGTGAACCCCTCTGATTAACTAAACTGTACATAATTTAGCTTATGTGCACTTTAGTTAAAGAACCCAGTACATCTTTCAAGTAGGGGGTTACCCTGGGGTACTGATCCATTCAGCCCCTGCTGTAGATGGATGAGAGTAGCTGGTACCAGTCTACCAGGTAGCTCAGACATGAAGAGATCCTTAGGGGAGAAGCAAGTTACTATACGAGCGCTTTGAGACTTTGGTATAAACCGCTTATATAAATCTAACTACATTACATTACACCACATCATCAAAAACTTTTTAATAGAACATACAGTATGTACATTACCTTGAGTAATTTTTGCGTACTGTTCCTGATTTAATATCTGTGCTATTTTTTCTGTATTCTCTATTTGGCGCATTGAGTCCGAAATTACCTTGCCCGTTCAAACCTCCTTCCTGAAAATAGGTTAAAACAAGAGAATAAACTTAATTGACAATCATAATAATAGAAGGATTCGGTTTCTGTACACAAGAATTATGAAACCAGTTTCAATGTTCACTAAAATAACAAAACCGTATTATAATACAGTAATATCTCTTATAGTGCATATTTAATAACCAATCAAGTAATAAATATATTAAGTCTTGGTCTGATGACAATATATCATGAGCATCTCTGTGATGGAGACAAGTACATAAACAAACATTCATTTATTATACATGAAGGCAAATATACTAGAAATATCAGAGCTTATGAACAAAACAGCTTTTTTTCAATTCTTTCAATTAGCATGAGAATGCATGATATTTGTTAAATGAGTTTATTATTTATTGTATGATATAATGTTAAATCTTACAAACAAAATATTATCTAAGCAGTTAGTGTCATTCCTTGGGTCAGATGTTAATGGTAACCATTAAATTATTGTATTAAATGAAGTTAATTATTACAAAATTCCAAATAAGTCTTATTCATTAAACATCATTTTGTTATTAAAATTAATTATTAAAATGTTGTTCAAAAAGTCGAACATAATTTATTTTTATTTTATTTTATTTATAAACAAACAATCGCCACTTACAGGATTGTAGAAAAATATACAAACGGGTTACAAGATAAAAAGAAATTAAAAAAACATTGTACTATACTTTTCCAGAAAAGAATACAAATACGGAAATAAAATAATCTAACAATGTTTGAAAAAATTACTCGGAAATTTAAACGGAGGCATGCCCTTTTAAAAACTGCTAATGAATTACTAAAAATATCCACTTCTGGACAAGCATTAACAAGATCATTATATATTAAAGATATACAATAACAAAAAAGTTTTTGCAAATATTAACTTTGGAAAAGTAAACATGGAAAACACTAATATTACAAAGTCTGCGATTAGAAACTTTAAGTCTAAAGAAAGAAATTAAATTACAGTTGAAATAATTATTAATACATTTAAAAAGAAATATTAAGTCAAGGTATTTTCTTCTGGCAAAGGGATTGGATTTCAAATTAATATCATTAAGAAAATTAAAAAATAAATTAAAATACAGAAATGTTCATTAGAAGAATATAGTATAAATAATACAGCGGGATAATTTGTTTTAAATTTAATTAACTTTAACTCACTTTAACTCTATTAGTTTTCACCACTTAAAAGGTATCCAGGATTTCCTCATTAGTACCATCCTGATATCAATAAAACTGTTTTTATAATCTTTGCATATATCCTTAATCTGGCTGGCTATCAATTGAAGGTTTTTAATACTAAAAATTGTTTTAATCTATGTCACATTGATTAATTAATTATATTTGATTATTTTACATGAGTAATTACCGGTAAACGATAATAGTTAAATTTTAAAGTGGGTTTTCCACCTTTTAAAACAGACCATAGCTTATATAACAAAAATAAACTATTTGAAATAGGCATAAACAAGTGAGTAAAAAAGAATCTGTGCAGTATTGCTTTCTATGTTTAGATAGTTCATTTTATTCAGACATCAATTGTTATGTAAAACCAACATAAATAAGGAAATAGAAATACATATTTTTAGAGCAGCAATTTATTTGCAGATACATTGTCACTTTCTAAGATCACATATTCAAAAAGTCCTGTTGAAGGCTGTTTTGTTTTTTTGTTTTCTTTGTTCTCATATTATTGGTATTTATTTATTTTTACAGAATGCATTCTTGCGAATATAAATTCGATCCTATCTTCATGCTCTATCATGCAAGAATTTCAAATGCAGGAAAACAACTTCACATTTTAGGACCATTTTCTTTTCCGGGCATTTTCTATGGATGGTTTATAATACTGTAATGGTGCTGTCGCGAACTTGGTATTACAAGCTTTTGGGTTTAGATGACGTGATACTCAACTCAACTCAAAACTTTCGTAGATGTGCTTTGGCGCAGGGGAAACGGTTTGGTTACCCGACTTTGAGGTCGCGGTTCCAATCCCTCGCTGTGTGTACAGTATTTCGCTTGTGTCCTTGAGCAAAACATTACATTGCTTCAGTCAACCTATATCAATGGGTACCAGAAATTTACTGGGTGTAACTTGTGATGTACTAGCACCTATCGAGGGGGAGTATTAATTGTATCCTACTCTCATATGCTATCTCACTACAGAAACTGGGGTTAAGCTACAAACTATGATCCTTAGTGGCTCCCAAAAGACTTACATTATAATAAACACAAACGATGTGTGTACCCCGATATTTCAAGGAAATGAATCACACATAGTTTCTGATCACATTTTTCAAATAAATTATTACTTGCTTCTCTCAACTGCATGAAAAATGTTGTGTTAATTCAGGCACTCACTGAGCACGATGGTCGTCGTCTGACGCTATTCTACGATGCGTTGTCTATCACTCACAGGGAGCAGACTAGGACTCGTACGGTTGTACAGTCGTACAACCGTATTACAATGCAGCGAGTGAACGGCTTTACATGTAAACACAAATTGGAAGTTAAAATAGAAAAAACTGATGTTAATCCTGCAACATGCACATGTAGAGAGAACACACAAGCACATTCTACACACTGTTAGCAGATGTTATCAAGACCAAACTTCAATCAATCAATCATTAGATGTATATACTGTATTGCATTTTTCAATCATTGCACGTTTCTTTCACATCTCATCGCCGTGCTACTCACACCACGTTTCACCGCCTTAGTCATTGTTGACCACCCAGATTTCAGCTGGTATTCAGGCTTGCGTGATTTATTCACATACTGGCTCATAGAGCGTGACACGCCTTTGGGCTCGTGCAGCGGACGGTCCGAATGCTCTACCGACTCGGACGATGAGAATGTTGATGAAGTTGGGCTGGAAGGTGGGGTTGACCGGAATTGACGCGAAACATGACGGGGAGAGCCAACAGCGATGTTGGTGTACACGTCATCAGTCACTACGCCCTCTTCGGGTGACTCAACCTGACCTGCAGACGTTGTCTTCCGACTATTTGTAACCTTTATCATATTATGATCATTGAACATTAATGTGTATATTTATTACATGTTGTCAGTTTAATATACACAAATAGTTATTAGCTAATTGTAACTACAGTAACAACTATTTATGTTAGTTTCAATGCACTAAACTGGTAACTAGACCAATAATGATAATAAGTAAGACTTTTAATAATCTATATTTCAATTATTTATGAGTAAAATATCATACTTTAACATAAATCTTTTACTGTACATTCTTTATAGGGCAGGCATACTATAAGGCACAAGGATCTATTATCACTTAATGACAATTCTATCATTAACAAAATGTTTATTGTTAATATAACTTTTACACTGGAGGTACTTAACAAGGATTAATAGTCCAAAGAAGACAAATTATTTGGGAGCCTTGATATTCTATAACCAAGTTTCTGTAGGAGACTTTGAGAGTGGAGTTGTTCTGTTGTGAGAAGAATTCTGACTAATACAGAGTTATGTAATTTACCTAGAACCATGGGATTAGAAAACAAGCACTTAAATTACCAAATCACATCTCATGCAACCAGATTATAATTACAGTATGTAGTTTTATTAAAATCATGACAGTTTTATATCTCACTTGGGTGGAATCTTGACTGTAGGAGCTCTCTTCATCCCAATCCTCATCCCAATCGTCAAAACTCTCTGTTTTCTGTGGCAGTGTTGTTGGTGATTGCAGAGGTGCAGTTGGCGATTGCATAGGTGCAGTTGGCAACTGCATCTGAGGTACAGGTGGTGGACTAAATGATGGTGGTGGCGGTGTCGTAATAACCTGGAGGAGGATAGAATACATTACAGTAAGTGATCATTTTACAATATCCTAGGATACTTACATCTACTGAATTTGTGGATAAAAAAATTGATGTGTGTCACATTCTTTAACAAATATATGTTGAGTTACTACAGCAGCAGTATTGAATTGGGGTCTATGTAGTTACTTCTAATCTTGATCCCAATGATGGTCACTATCATTTATTTTATTTTAGTTCTGTTTACTTAATACAGTATGTATAATTTATGTATCTGTACTATGCTGACCATTACAAATAAACATACTTTTGAACTTTGAAATTATACAAAAGTGAGGAAGCACTTTTACTAATGAATGTTATACCAAAAATAGACAGTTTTTATAAGATTAAACTGATCAATATACTAAAACCACAAACCTCAACATAAGCTTCAGGAAAGAGCCCTCGATGTCCAGACGGGTTCTGCCCTTCCCACCAGCCATCGCCAACATCTTGCCTTATAACATCTAGAATATCGTTTTCATATATTGTGAGTTCACCATTACCAGGCTCACCCTGGAAGTCATATAAAACTCGCACCTACAGATGAAAAAAAAAATTAAATTTAATGCTTAAATCTACCAACCTAGCTACAGAGCCTCTATGTATTATACACTCTCAAAGAATAGGCAGACATCTTTTGAACAGTTTCTTTCAGGATTTCCTACCAATATTGTTTTTATTGCTTTAATAATAATAATAATATGGGTATCATTAACATTATTATTAAGTACATACATTCCTAATTCAGATTGTACAATATTCGGTATCTTGCCTTGTACACTTATGGCGGAAAGAATTGTTTTTTTCCATATATTTCGCTATAAGACATACAAATCCAAAATATTCTATGATAATATAAAACAGATGTAAATAATGAATGGACATTTAATAAAATGCACAAGGACTGTTGCAGTCGTTGATGGAACTAACATGCTTTGATTCACTGTCGCCAGGTGTGAACTTGAAAAGAAGATTTGTTGTGAATTGAATGGTAATTAGCATGATGTTTGTATCTAGGTTTACCCTAAAGTGTCACGATAAATATTGCATGTGATATACAGTATATATGTAATGACATTAAAATGCCACAAACACTGGCAGTGGTCCATTAAACAATATTTTCAGTATGAGCAAACAACCAATTCAAAAACCAAATCGTCTAAGATGTTGTTCATATTTTTAATAACAAATCCAAAAATAGATTTGTAAACACCAGACTAAAATCAAACTGTTCACTAACAATAACAAACATCTTGGAATTAAATTGTTCAAAATAAGTGATTGTTAAAAATGCAGTTAAAATTACATCAAATAAAATATAATAATAATTATTATGATCATTATTAAATTACTAATCCCTTGTTAGAAATTCAGTTTATAATTTCTAAGATACTGTTATTTTGATCATACTATAGCTTTATTGCATAACATTATTTTTAATTTTAATAATTATGTAAAAATTATATTATCAAAATTATTGTTATTAATTAATGCAAATAGTCTTATGGTTATGCCAAATTATTATTTCGTATTGGTATGCAAAACTTCAAGGAAATAATAATACTAAGAACTGTAGCCTATAATAAGATGGAAATACATGATAGATAGCATGCTCTCTTGAACAATACTGACGACAATCAGCTATGCCAGTATAAGTTAGTAAACACATCCTATGTTATTTTTAAAAACTTTAACTACTGTAATTTGGCCTTGAAATTCTTATCAATGCAATATTCAGTAGCAATAATTCATCCTGTCTGCGTGAGCTAAAAAAGCATTACAAAATTCAATACTTGATTACTTTAAATACAGTACTTTGTATGTTTACATTAGTAAGTTAGGTTTTACTCAGTGGTACCTGGAATATTGACACGGGGAAATGACTGATGGGTAGGGTACGGATGTTAAGTGGAGGGGTAGAAGGTGATTCTCGCAGTGCCATTGTGTTGAATTGCATGGGCTTGGTCTGTGACTACTGTACCTAGCAACCGTAAAGGTTGCGTTTTACAGTAGCTACATGTTCACATCATTCCACAACGACAGAGGCTGAAATGAACCGCAGCATTGAGGTAAACCCCTACTCTTCAGAAAGATGCAAAGGGTTTTTCAAAGTGCACACAAACCTTATTTGTACACTGGACCTCCATCCTTACCCAAGACGACTTGGTTTTACCAGGACTTGTTATAGTGACCAACCGAATCCTGGGCAATTAGTGGCAAGAACCAACGCCGATAATAAGGCTGTGGTTGAAAGCCCCTGCTTTACAGTTCTAATTTCTTTGTATACACCATTTATTCTAGTAATCAATTTTAATTTTAATGATTTATGTGGTAAAAGATCCTTATAATATATAAATCAATGAAGACATATTTGATTTGATCTGTATGTAAGGTAGTTGATATCTTACTATACATGAGCAATTTTGATTTATATAACTGATTTTTTTTTTTTTTTTGGATGTTGTTTTAAATTTCCAAACTCAATGACCTGTATAATTGCCAAAAATTGTATAGATTACTGTAGAAGACTTCATTCCAGAACATTTGATAAATTACTGTACAGAGGTTAAGAGGGGAAAAAAAATTGTTTATTGAATACTGTAGGTTCCTTGCTTATACTGTATACACTAACAATATAGCAGAATACATTTACAAAATACGCTTTTCTTCACTACATTTATAGTCTTTTCATATGGTACAAAGAGTTTTTATTACTGTACTGTACATGCCAAACTTCGACAAGAAAATATCAATCTTTGTTTCGTCGTCATTTTGAGACAATATTTGTTTTTGGAGGCAACTGTAACGCATTTATGGCAGACATAAGAGAAGCCATATGGGCCAAGTAAAGTGATCATACTGATATATACTCAGGAAGTTCTCGAATGAATGACTCAATACTTGATTTCCCTCTAATGATAAGGAAACCTATGTATAGCAAGCATTCAAGTAACTTTCTTTCTTTAGTCACAAAAGACATCATGGCTGATAATTGCTTCACTGTTATTGAAAAAATTTCCTCAGATTAAAGAGAACATAATCAAAGATCTCCAAGATTAAAATGATCACGGAAACTTAGAGGATTTAACAACTTTTCTTTCTCTAATTACGAAAATATAGATTGCTGTCTATTAGTTACAATTACTTCACTGTAAGTCCTATTAATACATTTCCTCAGATTATCAAAACATAACAAATATACACTTTCAAAATTGATCAAGTTAGCCTAGCAAAATCATTTTTTAGTACTAAACGAACATATAGAATTTTTTCTTCTCATATAATGATACTGTACCATCTATTCAAAAAAATAAAGTCACATTATTCAATTATAAGCATGGAAAAGTTCTCATAATGGTTTAAATTTCAAATAGATTGAAAACCAAATCAATGATTTGCTGATTTTATTACAATCCTTAAGTTGATCACTAGCCAAAAAGAGCCTACTGTATGAAAAAGAATATATTGCTTGCACATCTGTTAAATGGCGATACTGTATGTCATACTAAATTTCAGTTAGGGTAAAAGCTATTAATATTATTATTGATTTATTTACTAATATCTTTAAATAATTAGCAATATTATGGATTTCAGAATTATTTCTGTTCTTTCAAATTTTGCAATGGCATTTGCTAAGATATCTGCATCAATATGTTAAGATTTCTTCTTGTTTAGCCCTAGGTCAGAAGGAGCACATATTGTTTTCTCATTCATATGTACTGGTTCTTTGCCGCCTTCCTTTATGTTTGTATGTTTAAGCCTGTCTACCCTGTGATGTTATGTAAAGGTAGTCAGATTTATGGTGCAGAAGATGACAATAGAGAACATGTTTTACAGACAGAATCTACATTGATCATTGTTACGTATTACCATGAACCTATAGTTTAGTTCAATAACTGTTCCGCAAAACTGAAGCAATGATTTGGTCACATGCTCCTTTATAGGAAATGACATATTTCCAAATTCAATGTTGTTTATAATTTTCAGTATTTCTTTAATTGCTCTTCTCCAAGGAGAACTGTAGAGATGACAGATGAGAAAAGCGGCATAAAAATAATGTTATGTTGATAATACAGTAGACCCTATAACAGGTATAACCAATGATGTTAATAAAAATTAGGATTACTATCAAGTATTATCTGTGTAAGATGTTCTAATCTTGAATAAGAAAAAAAATCTAAATATTAGCTTGGACAATTATAATTACAGCCAATTGCAGAATAGAATTGAGCTGGATGTTCATATTTTCAAACCAGCAGAGAAAAAATGGCTTTCTACAGGTAGGCTACTATGTTATTAAATCAGTGTCTATCATGCATATTTTTATTGACAATTATTAATATTATCATCAGTCTGTACCAAACATTATAGAAACCTGCTGCAGTAATATATGTCAGAGCAAAGTACAATATTGCTGTACTATATATTAGGAAAGAAAATACTACTGACCTCCAGATGGCAATGTGTTGTTGAATTTGTTTACCCACTAATTGTATAATATCACCAGTAATATGTACCGATTGACATGGGTGACAATATGACCTTTGTACTTTACACTTGTAGTAGTAGGAGCAGATAACATGACCAGTAAAAGGTTATCAAAAATATACTATGGCTGGCAAAATGCTGTGTAATATACAATAATCATTATGATTTACTGTATGAAGCTCTTAAATAAACAATGAATAAATTATGACCAAATTATGATGAGAAGTCATTAGCAAGCAGCAATTATTGGTGCTCAACAACGCCTTGAGACGAAGTGTAGGACTCTACCCATTTTGGACAACTACAGTACTATGACTTCAAACCAACCTAGACCCAGCCTTGCTACTACTGTACATGTGTGATCATAAATTTGTCATGCATTTAGCAGAAGTCTATACGTAATAACGATAACGAATTCAGGGGAAGAATTTAGTTTTACTAAAAATATAAAAATGGTCATGCAATAGCTTGAGTCATTAGAGAGCTTTCGTTATGTCATTCGAGAATCAATTCAAAGAGAAAAATTCTCTTTCCCATCAACCACACACTTAGTAGTCGCCTGCAGTCGGGCGTTCATTGTCACAACCAACCGTTGATTATGTGACTGGAGCCCACACCCCCACCAGGGTTCCGCCCCTGGATCCCAGGCGGCCCCGCCTTCCACCCACCCAACTTGTCACACATTTCAAATCTCTCAGGTTGGCACCAAACCCCCAGCGCTAGGGCGTCCGGTGTTCATGGGCCCAGGGCCACTCTTGGTGATCCTGCCCTACCGTACGCTACCCTCTGGTACGTACTAGTAATAGAATGTTTATATCCTAAATTACTCTCAAAAAGGTTAAACAAAATGCAATGAAGATAAAAAAAAAAACTTCTATCAAAAGGATAAAATCTGAAACAATCAAATTTGTGTGAAGTTTCACTTGAGAGCTAATTCAGAGGCCAGAAGATCTTTCAAATAAGCTACCTTTCATAAAACAGACACAGGGGAATACTGGAATTTCATGACAAAAAAAAAAAAAGAAGAAATAGCCCTTTCATCTAAATAAAAATTGAGAAGTACTGTATATCTATCTATATAATATATCTATCTATTAATTTCATACAGGCAATTAAAATGGCATTTGAAGCTTATAAAAGTGGCAACATTCCTTAAATTGCTGACTACGGATCCTAAGATGGAGCTAGCCCCTTCAAGAAGACCTGGTTTAATCTTCTTGCTGAAGATGATAACTAATGTTAGGTCTTCTGTGAGACAATCAATAATAATCAAAAACATTCTAATATATTCTGAATTTATGGGAGTTCTGTGTTGGACAATGTTGTTTTTCAAAAATTACAAATACTATACTCGCGTATAAGACGAGGCTATAAAACTAGCAATTTACGATAAAAAAACATGGGGTTGGGTAGTCCTATAAGCATAACATTATGTTAGACTTATAAATCATGCTCGTCTACAGGTGCAGACAAATGAATGCAATTTGAAGTACAGGGAAACATTACTTAAAAACTCATAAAATGGTATTATTTGGGAATAGCCTTGCATTTGGCTCTGTTTTCAGCCAGCTAGATGCATTATAAAGACCATTGATGATCTAATTTCAGACAGTCGTCTCCTACTGTACGCCAGACATACAAAAATCATCCAAAAATCTTCTCAAACTCAGAGGTCGCCTTATACGTGAGTATATATAGTAGGCCTATATTATAAATGATCTGTTTTAAATTTGAACTGTTTATTTTACTGTTAACATTACCTTCGGAATTTTTGTCTTCAAAATGAGGCTCTGTGCATCGCCTAAATACTACATTCTGTGTTCAACATCAAATTTTGTCTTAAGTTCCCATTTTGTGGTCAGGGAAAAAAATACTTTAGCTAACACAGTGTCAGAAGTTAATGGCCTACTCATCAAACAAAGTCTGATCAAACTTTCTCTGTCTGGACAATCAAATTTTATTTGACAAAAACATGACTTGTGACATGCCTACAGTAAATATGGTCATGATGACATCACATTTGACCATATATAGGCACACTATGACTATATATGGGCATATAACAGCTTTTTTTCAAAGAAAATTTGATAATCTGAACAGAGGTTTAATGTCTGAGTTATAAAAATGGAAAGATAATGTACATTGTAGCTTATTACATTACAGTAGACAGAAAACCTATCAAAAACAATTTAAATTGAGATAACTATCATAATAAATTCAACAACAGTACTTTTGGTGAGAACTTTTTTATTCCTTGTTTTGCATATCGGAGGAGGGCAAAATAAAAATAACATTTTGTTTTCTTATTTAGCAAAGAGTTTTGCCAAAAACATCCAGATGGAGGAGAATAATAAAAATAAAATTTTATTGGTGAATGTAAAATGGGATGGATAAATGCTTCAAATTTATATAATCAGGAAGAAATATACATACATACAGTATATATTACTTTTGGAGATTTCAAGACAGCAGACGATGTAATAAAAATAAAGAAAAAATTTTATTTTTTTCTGAAATTTCCATTTTTTCGTGGCCGGGGGTGCGCTAATTGGCCAAAAATAAAATCTTATTTTTATTCGAAATCATCAATATTTGCATTCGGCGGGTTCGGTATACAAGGTATAAAGAAGTCTCGCCTTACTTTTTAAAAAGGTAAATGTTTGTTTTTTTCACAACACACGGGATGACCATTACTCATCAGTTGATGATTCATACTTTTATTGATACATAAACAGAAGTCCACAAGCTGCCATTCTTCAAATAAAGCACTAATGAAAATGTGTTGCCATCAAACGAAACAATAGCCAGAATATGATTCTTCCACTCAGCTAGGAAATATGAATGACGACTGATTGACAAGCTTCCTAAGTTACTGATCAATAATATATGACACAGTGCTTTTTTAAGTGTCGTAGGAGTGATGTTACCTGATGTATTGTACTAAATATTCAGTACGTTCCCACTATTTTCGCAAGTATTTGGGAACATACTGAGAAATCAGTACGACAACACGTCATTTAGGGAATAAATATGACTCCTTCCTCTGATATTTTCCAAATGCAAACACATGGAAATAATTTTTTAAGTGTGTTTACTTCATATCAATTGTACTAGTCTTTGAAAAATAATATTAATTTGTATATTTTGGAAAAGGATTATGATTCGGAGTTTAGTCGACTGAGCTATCTACTCATCTAAGTACTATAACAATACCCATTTATAATCAGGGATGGAGAAACAAATATAGGTATATTTTGCCCATGGAAAACCAAAAATGCACCGTGAGGGATTTGAACCTCCGAACTCCAGATGCTATACTGAATTGCACTAGCAACTCTCAAACACAACAGGTTCATACTAGGAATAAAATAAAAAGTAACAAAAGGCTATAATTTGAGGAAAACATACTCGACTCAAATGATTGGAATGCTATAAGATTTTTTTTTTACAGTAGCAATATGGATCTACTGTACCAATCTATACCATCATATGATATACAGTATAGTATTGTAGTCGTGTTATGAATTGAGATTGAACTTTAACCTTAAATGCTCTATTCAAACAATGCCTTACAACAATAATATTTCTGACCTTGATCAATAAACCTGCTCAATGACATGTTGTTAGATGATAATAACAAAATTCAATAAATAATAATAAATAATATTTTGTTCTCCTTATCATTCATGCAATCATCAAATCAGAAGAAAAAAGTTAAATATGAAAGCAACCTTTAACACTATTGTTTCTCCTACTATGGAGGAATCTAAACTGATTTCTTCAATATACTAAGTAACAGTAAGCTAATAATCTACACAGGATTTGCAGAATAGAAAGCTAAACTTGATTAAAAGTCCATCTACAAATACAATTAGTTTATGTACTATTAAGTACACTTACCTTTGATACTTTCATATTTACGGCTTATAGAAAGTTACTAAATAACATCAAATATGAATTCCTTTGCACTAAACTTCAACTTTATTGTGACCAAGTAGTAATAGACAGTTGGCTGAATACAGCCAGCATGATTGAGCTCTAGCAAGGTTATGAAGAGACTGTGAGCTGACCACAATTCACCAACACAATACAGTCAGCTCGGTATCCTGTCATAGAATAATGACTACTCACAAAATGAGATCATATGTTTCGACAATCTAGCTTTTCAGTGCAGGAATATCCTTAATATCCAAGGTGTTAAAGGCTACCTCAAGAATAATACTGTATTCGCATCATAATAAAAATAATATAATATTTAAATAATTTTTATCAAACAACAAGTAGTTTTATACAAATGCTGCAATGTTTTTAAGTCTCAAAGGCCAAATAAATACAATTTATTTTGACTGTATTTTCCAATTTTGGTGGATGATTGGATCTTATTTGGATCTCATTCTCAATGATTAATATGAATGACTGATTATTGACGACAGATGAATGATCTTTGCAGAACGTCCTGAAAAACGCTCTCCTTCATTATAAACACGGTATAGAAACAAAAAGTTGGCATTTTTATTGAAATTTGAAAGCTTATAAATACTACATTTTTATTCATGGTAATAATCAGTTCAATTGTGATTATCATTAAGAAAAAAATCATTAATTTTTAATTTTAGTTTTGATGTAAATATTTATTAGCATTTAAATGTTTTTAACACATAATTTGGCTACTTCAACTGTATGTTTTATTAAATTCCTAGTGTCAATCTGAGTATGAAACCTGTAACTTTAGAATTACATATTTCCCTCTGACCTCTATAAATATCAAAATTGAATAAATCTACAACACTGAAAGTGTGAATATCCCTTTAAACACAGATCAGTAAGTGAATGACCTTGCAACAATTCCTCTTTTCTTTTAAAACAATGATAAAATCAATAACACAGCCAGGGTCAGGATGGTTTCCTTAAAAACAGTCAATTACACCTATCTGGTTCCTTATTGCAATGAGAATGTAAAATAATATATATGATGATGATACTGTATGAGGTAATTTTAAGTAGTTCAAAGTTCAAAGTTCAATTTATTGGTCATATATATAGTGAATTCAATACATGACATTAGTATTCCCTGTACTCTACAATGAATAAAAATACTAATATTCTAAAATATATACAAAGAACAGATTGCACAGAATAAAACACAGTGAAAATATGAAAAAGTAAAAAGAGCAAAAACAAATCTTTCAAGGTTTTGAGAAGTCCATGTGCGGAAGCAGAATGTCCGGGTTTTACAAAATGTCCACCACACATGGGAACCTAAACTTAGAATGGTGAACTGGTGGGTGAGGGATGTTTATGATTTATTTCAGATCTAATTGTATTTTCTTTCGTTAAGTTCTTTCATTTGTTTAGCTTTAAGTTGTTGTTTTACTCTTTGTTCATAAGTTCTTTCATTTGTTTAGCTTTAAGTTGTTGTTTTACTATTTGTTCATAAGTTCTTTCATTTATTTAGCTTTAAGTTGTTGTTTTACTCTTTGTTCATTAGTTTAAGTTTGACTGCGCCACTTTCTTGTGTGCTGCCACTGATGTAAAAGTGTAATGTCAATAAATATTATTATTATTATTATTATTAAACTTCTGTGAACTCAAAATGACACTGTTTAGCTGTACCTGTAGATGGTCACCATCACTGTTGCTGATGAAACCACAATTTCCTCAAACAAGGTGATCATACTATACAGTACTGACATTTAAGTTCAAGGGATCATTAACGGACACAAAAAATGACATAATTTTTTAAGTACACGTTATTAATCGTTCTCTATTTTTTATTGAATAGATGACAATTACAACTTCCTACCACAGTCTAGTCAGGTATCAGTAAGACAATTGATCCTATTTTGGAGACAATTTACTTGGATTAAATGTTACAATTTACAGAAAACTGTACAAAGTTTCTTATTGTGTATTTCAAAACTACAAAGTACCAGTGGTGGTTCCAGAAGTTTTCCCCCAGGGGTCCGACAAGTCGAACAGGGAGGTCCGAACCAATGGACTGACTAGAGAATCGTTCAGGGTCCCTGAATAAAATCTCAGGTGGGGTTCCTGGGGAGAGTTTTTAGGGCAAATAGAAAAATTTATTAGATTATCACTCCTGCCCACATCAAAAAATCGGGAAATATTTATGTTTTTTTGCTGTGTTAATTATTTCAACAGCATAAAAATAACAATGCAATTTTGTGACTTCAAAATACATTTTTTTTTAAAAACTAAAATTAAACCAACTTTTATACAATACTTACTATTACAGACCAAATATAAACAGTCCCTCTCTCATCGATAAAAACAAAAGCAAAATAATATATTGCTCCCATTAAAAAAAAAATTTTTTTTTAACCACCCTTCCTCATCAATTAAAAAAAAGAAAGACTGATAATCTAATATTTTTTTCTATGTGCCCTTATGACTAAGTAATAGTATAGTGTGATCCATTTCATTCTTTTATTTTGGAACAAATTATCAGAGATTGGCAATCAAAATAAAGTTGTTTGGATGAATATTATTAATATTGTTTGTCTAATGACTTTTTTCAATCGCCAAGCAAAGGCTTTTTTTACCATCAATATAGTACTTGCAACAACTTGTATGATCTTGTGAAAATCTGATGAAACTCAGACCTGCCAACCCTTGGGTCATGAAAATCTGGAGATTTTTTTAAGAATCTTAAAAAAAATCTGGAGATTTACCAAAAAATGTGCTTGTGCTTGGCGCCAGGAATCGACTGTTCTATTATTTTTCGAGGGGTGTTTCTTGTTTGAGAAAGAATAGGCAATTAGTCGGTTTATTCAAGTAAGTATTCATGAAGTAGACTATGCATAAATCGGAGTATTTTTGGGGAGGGGGGATGGCCTGTGAAATCGTGTGAAAATTACATTCGACAGGGAGAATTGGAGATTTATTTAAATATCGGGTGACACCCGACAGGATCGGGTGACACCCGACAGGATCGGGTGACACCCGACAGGATCGGGTGAGTTGGCTAGGTCTGGAAACTGATGTCAATGAGTAACAATGAGACAGGAGACATTTCACTTAATTTATTTAAAGACTATTTGACCTCAATATACAAATACAACATGGTCAGAGGCAGCTTAATTAAGCAAATATTTTACTGTAACTCAGTTAGAGCATGAAGGTAGCATAGGCCTAGGCTTACTAGGAATAGGATTAGGTAAGGCCTCCAGGCCTAGCCTAGCTAGGCCTAAATAAACTCAGCTTCCCCCTCATTTATTATTACATTCCCATCATCTCTTTTTTACTTTCTGCTTTATGGTGATATCCCTAAAGACAAGCGTACCTTAATGCATCCATCCTACCTTTGCTAAACTAACATTTTAGCGATGATAAAAAGAATACTGAAATAGTCGGTCTAGGCTATGCAGAAGAAGGCTGTCGTTGACAATCTCCACATCGTTCCTGGGCAAAAAATGCGCCACCAACTAGAGTAACACGGCAACGAGTATCAATAAAACGAGAGGCCTAGAGAATTTCATAACGTAAATAAACTCAATATTTCATTATTTCTATAAATAAACATCGAAATGAAAAGCAGAACAATTACAAAATTTGTTTAATACTCACCTGGAGCGCCATGTTGGCCCAAAACAATGTCACATGCAAAATATTATCCCAATTATATAATAGGAGGTGACATCAATAACAACAGTCTTCTTTCTAGCAAAGATACTAGAAATACAAGAT